TCGCCCGAATAGGTCTGAGAAAATTCGGGCCAAACCCATAAAAATATTTTACTTTTACAAAATATATTAAATATGATAAATATTAATTAATTAATTAAGTTTTAGGTTATTTTATACTAAAATACCATATATTTGAGTCTTATACATTATTTAAGTGTCAAAAAACATATTTTATATTTTTTATAAAATAAAATAATTAATTTTAAAGTGAAAAAATTAATTAAAAATAATTTTAAAAATATAAATTCAGGTATTCGGGCCGCCTGAAGCCTGAAGGAATTCGGGCTGGACTTGGCTATTCAGGCTTCTCAGCCCGAATAAGCCTAGCTCGCCCGAATTCCCAACTCTATATAGAATGCTATAACATGTGGCATAGGAAATTCTTTTTTATTCAAATACCTAAAGAAGCATCTTATCATATGAAGGTCATGAATGTCATCAAAAACTACTCCATGTTAATCATATAGGAAGTTAATCAAAACTATGAGAGTTACATGCTTATTTATGAAACAAATGCCCTAAGATTGGCAATTATACATACATTAACAAAAAGAAGGCTAACAAGGCCTAATGGTATCTACTCACACCAAGCTATGCTTCTGATACTTCTCTGGCTAAATTCTTTCCTATAAAAATGTTAACCATAGGGAGTGAGACACAAAGGTCTTAGTAACAAAAATTAATATGCAATGATACATGTGATTATTTTACCATTTTTTTAAGTAGGCATATTAAAACATATTTCCAAACACAAAATGGAAACAATCTAAAGAAAATGCAAGACCATATCTTATATCTCTCCAAATACCATACCTACAACAAACCCAACCAAAGGTAAGTCAATCCAAGCTAATTACCTCTCATTGGGTCCAATGAGGGCATATCATATGGTAGGAACATCTCTAAACAAAATCCCTAAATAACAACAGTTCAAAACTTGACAAGTCATGCATATTTTAAGTATATTTGAACAATTTCATGCTTCCAAATACATGGTTTATACCAAACATAGTATATAAGTATAAGATAACACACTTGGAAATTTATTTCCAAACATTAACAGCATGCTTTTTGTAAAGTCCCACGAGACACCATAGATTTTACTAACACATATCACTAAGTTAAGCAAGGGAAAAGTACTAAACTCTACTTCTTGCTTTACTAACATGTGCTAGTACCAAAAGTTTGCAAACATTAATAGTTATTTTATTTTAAAAATGTGAGATTCTGACTTAAGTTAAAAAGACTTAACGTAGGTGCTAATGCACAAGGAAAACACTCAAAAAGACATAAACACCTTACCCTTAAGATAGGGATTAAAAATTTATTTTTCTCAAAAAGTACCATGTGTCGTGACATGTACAACATGCGCTGTGGTCATGCCGCCATGCATCGTGACACCTGTATCATATTTTTCTATCACAACAGCATTGCTAATACAAACTTCTGTCATGTGCCATTTTCACACATGATGTCTAATCAGATGATTCACCCACACATAACTTGTAGGACAAGCTAACTGTTGAACATGTTCAGACACGATCTAACAATCCGAACTCGATTTGAATACTCTGGTGCAAAAAGGAACTTTTCTTTTAAAAAAAGTGCCTTAAGCATTCAAATCTCATTCCTTACTTCATTAGACAACTTAGGGCTTTAAACCAAGTCCAAAAGGACTAAATACACCTGATTAACACATCATATCACATATAGTGTTTCATATACACAATTTGATCACTCAATGCCACCTTTTGCCTAGTGGGCTAACATGAGATTTCCATAATAATATGTATAAATAAAAACACTACCACGCATACATTTCTACTTTTCCATTCACATATACCTAACTTGCATGTATAAGGCTAAGTCTAGCAATATAGTTAAGGTTCACAATTAACACCTAATTTACACACACACATATATACACAATATCACAAAAACGCATATAGTATACTAGTGGAACAAGTTGACCGCTTTCAATTCTCAAATCTTGCTCCTTATCTCTAGCCTTACACAAGTACCTACACTCTAGGCACCACAAGCTAAAGAAATATCAATTATCACATGTTATGAGGCAAGATTTCACAAGATTAGATATATACATGCACTTGCTTATGATAACATCTAAGCCAACCCTTCATATTTATACACACTTCCACAAATGGCGAAGATGCTCTAAAGATGGTACAAGAGAGTCACCTCAAACAATATATACATGTTTGCTCCCTAGTTGGAAACATAAACACTATACACAAATATACATTCATTTACACTAGAATAGCATTACCATTTGTATACAAAAGTACTCTTCTTGTGTTTCCTTTCCTGTCCTCTTCAAACTCTCACCTGTAAATATGAAGTAACAAAGTGAGACAAAAGTCCTAGTAACCTGTATAAACCAAGTACAGATTAATAGGGAAAACTACACACAGGAGATAGAGTAACATCACTTTTGCAAATAAATATCGATATATATGTATATAATTAATAATGCAATGCATGAATATGTTCCACAAGCATCCACCAAACCTTTAGATCTCTCGACTAATCCTATAGGCTATACGCAGGACCTCTCTAGTCAGTCCAAGTATCCTAAGCATGCTTGTCGACTATGGTATACAAGGCATAGGCATCACACATGCCAAGGCCATGGTTTGCATATCTCCACAAGGTGAATTCCTACCTTCAATCATAATAAATGTTTATGCATTCTTGAGTCTCACTAGTAGATCAACATATACACTCTGGACTAGGACTTCCCATCCTTACACAAGCCAAGGCCACAAGCCTTTACTTTAGACCAAGGTATCACTTTCTCATGCACAATCATTTATCACTTTTACACTATAGCACATGCATTGCTTTTCACACACATCACATGTATCACTTTTTATATGCATCACATGTATCATGATTTACAAAAAAGCTACTTTATCAATTTAGAAATCTTGATAAAAGTAATTTACATAAGTAACTTGTAAATAATTTTACAAGCTAATAGATAAAAGGGTTTATCCAGCCACCTCATACCGTTTTTACCAAGGGTTACCATTTGCATTGAAGCACTTTATGGTAGATTTCCATTAATAACACCCAAATACTCAATCTACATAAACAAAGGTCCTTAGTTAGCTTCCAAACTCAATGCAAAACACTAAACTTGGCTAAGTCACATTACTTAGCACTTATATCTATCTCAAAAATACTTTTTAAACTCACTTTAACCCATTCATCCAATCCACACACCCTTAGGCCATTAAAATAGTCAAACCACTTCTCAACACACTACGTAAACATTTCTACCCTTTTTGAGCTTCTCACTTTAGGTCAAATGGAGCTTGTAACTCCAAGGCTCAACTATTAAACCCTAAATCAGTAGCACACTAGTGCAAAATAAATTTTTAACTACATAATTTTTGCCATAGTTTCAAAATAACTATGGTAATAATAACCCTAGTGGCAAATATGTAAATATGTGGAAAAATATTACTTTTATGGCCATAGTCCTCCATGAAACCTATCACCATAGTAAATATAAAACATCACTCTCCTAACCAATAAATTTTAATTAATTTTTTATCAGTCTAGTTTCTAATATATTAATTGTCTAAAATAAGACACGTTTATGACCCCAGGTTTGTTTGAAACCTGTGGTGATAATGCATGTTGCCTCACAATTACGGCCATAGGTTTAAGTTACATCTGTGGCCATAATGTTTAAATTTTTAAATTGTATTTATTTCATAAATATTAATTTTATTAATTATTTACTTTAATTTGAAAATTTAACATGTCATGTTTCTGATAAAATTGACAGTGTACGTTTATGGGCAAAGGTTTATTTGATATTTAATGGTTAACAATTATGGCCACAGGTTTACGTTAAACCTGTCACCATAATGTTTTAATTTTTAATTTATGATTTTTGCTTTATAAAATATTATTTTTGTTAATTATTTAGTTTAATTTGATTACTTAATATGTCTTGTTTTGGAAAAAATTTGTTGTGTACATTTATGGCCACAGGTTTTAAAGATACCTGTAGATATAAGCATGTAATGGTTAACAATTACGGCCACTGATGTATATGAAACTCGTTGCCATAATGTTTAGCTTTACTTTATTTTGAATATTTAATATTTTTTTGTTTCTGATAAAATTGATAGTGTACATTTATGGCCATAGGTTTGTTTGATATTTAATGCTTAACAATTATGGTCACAGGTTTATGTTAAACCTGTCGCCATAATGTTTTAATTTTATTTTATAATTTTTGCTTTATAAAATATTATTTTTGTTAATTATTTAGTTTAATGTGATTATTTAATATGTCTTGCTTTGGAAAAAATTTATTGTGTACATTTATGGCCACAGGTTTTAAAGACACCTGTGGATATAATGTAATGGTTAACAATTATGGCCACAAATGTACATGAAACCTGTTGCCATAATGTTTAAATTTTCTTTAATTTGAATATTTAATATTTAATATGTCTTGTTTATGATAAAATTGATAGTGTACATTTATGGTCATAGGTTTGTTTGATATTTAATGGTTAACAATTATGGCCACAGGTTTATGTTCAACTTGTTGCCATAATGTTTTAATTTTTATTTTATAATATTTGCTTTACAAAATATTAGTTTTTTTAATTATTTAGCTTAATTTGATTATTTAATATGCCTTGTTTTAAAAATTTATTGTCTACATTAATGGCCACAGGTTTTAAAGACACCTGTGGATATAATGCATGTAATGGTCAACAATTATGGCCATTGGTGTATATGAAACCTGTTGTCATAATGTTTAAATTTACTTTAATTTGAATATTTAATTTGTCTCAAATCTGTGGCCATAATGAAGGTTTCTCTCATCAATCATGGCCACAAGTTTAAAACTTGTGGCCATAATTGTAATTATAGTAATAGTTTTGTTTTCAAACCGTTGCTATAATTGTCCTATTTACCCTACTTTTTCCAGTAAATCAGTTCGACCTTTCTCGAATAAATTAGTTCACATGTCATCCACACTCTTTCTCCCTCAGCTTGCATTTTTGCGGTCATCCACGACTCGCAAATCCATCCATCTTCTTCTGTGTTAGCTCGCACTCGTCTCCCTATAGCTCCTGATGCCTCCTTCTACCTTAGCTTGCGTCCCACAGCTCGCGTAGCTACCATTTTTTTCACCTCCAGCTCCTGCCATCTCCTCCCCCAGCTTCTGCCTCCCACAGCTCCCACATCTTTGGAGCTCCCTTTGTCAAATTCTCCCTTAGCTCGTGCTTTCATTTCCATTGGCCACAACTCTGCCCATAGCTCTTCCTCCACTCGCTTGCTGCAGGGCACCTTCAGCGTCCAGATATATATTTTTTGAATTAATTTTTGCATTTGATCTGGTCAAATTTTCTTGTTTTGTTTTCTTCTCCAGCTATATTACTTATTCTTTTAGCTTAGAAAAACAAATTTTGTTCTATTTTTTATTTTCTTTTCTCATTATATATATTTTATTTTTTTGGTTATTTGTTGGGATAATTTTTGGGCACCCATTATCATAGATTTCTATTTAATGATTATTCATTAAAAATTGTATGATTGATATTTATATGCGATAACTTGAACTTTTTTTAATTGGAATTGATAATTCCATTGATATGTTCTAAAATTGAAGGGGTTTAATGCCTTGTAAATCTCAATTTATAAGTCGTTATGCTGCTAATTTTTTTAAATTTTAAATCATAAATTATTTGTTAATATTTGAATTAGGTAATTATGAATCGTAATTGAATAGATACCTTATGAACAAGTGATGAATATAAGATAGGGGTAGATCAATTTTTGGAGTTTGTAAAGAACAATGTTCATAATAACAAAGGATTATCCTATTGTCCTTGTGTCAAGTGTTTGAATGGGTTGTGATAAAGTCCTATGGATATTAAAAATCATCTAATTTGTTTCGGGTTCTACAAAGCATACACACAGTGGGTCTTACATAGTGAATCTAGAAAATACTATATATTGGTTTTGTTCGCTACAATGGCAAGTAAGTGACGATATGAAGTTATTGATTGAATCGTAAGTTTTTGAATAATTCTGTTTTGTGTTAATATTAATATATATTTATTATTTTATAAGTGCATATATTTAATAAATAGATCTTTTAACGTTGTATTGGAGGTTTGTGGAAATGGTGAACAAGAAGAAGACTAAAATCAAGTTGGTGAGTCTGCATGTAAGTATTTCATATTTATTTTCTAATTAGAATAAAGATTATATTATAGGTTTTATGAATTTAATTATTTTTATTTTTTGATAGTGTCATCAACAATCAAGAAATGTAGAGTGTGGTTATTATGTGATGCTTTTTATATATGAAATCATGACTAATAAAGGTATTTTTCACTCATTTGATCAGGTAATAATTTGTTAATAATGATTTAAATTTTAGAGTGTGCACTATGCTTGAGTTATTATTCATACATATATTGTTATTGAATTTGTAGCATATCAAAAGTTTTGAGCCATATACTAAGTAGGAACTGAGACACATACACAATATTTGGTCTGGTTTCTTCCTAGAATTAACAAGATTATAGTTTAGATGTTTTATAGATAGTTGTATTGGAAATGTAGACTTTTAGTTGATATATTTGTATTGGTACTAGTTTTTGGAGCTTTTTTTTATATATTTATGTAAGTTTTGTAAGTAAAGGATGCATGAATATGAAAAGGTGGGTTTTAAGAAAAAATAAGTTATAGCCACAGTTATTGACCATAATTGTCATTATAATTGGATTCACACACCAATTACAGCCACAAGTTCAGTAAATAATTGTGGTTGTAATTTGCTATTCGCACCAATTATAACCACAGTCCAAGATATGGCATGTGGCCATAATTATCTATTACGGCCCAATGTCCAAATCTAACCTGTGGCAATATTTACTTTATTTTAGCCACAGTTTTACTATAACTTGTGGCAAAAAATCTTCTATTACAACTACACTCATTTCTACCACACCCTTTTGTGTTATGAAAATAGGTTGTTAACTATGGCAAAAATTGCTTTTTGCACTAGTGGCAAAACCTTAGCTTCAGATCCTATAGCCCTTCCACAACTATTTACTTAGAATTTAACCCCTTAAAGCTCCTGATTCAATTTCTTTATATTTAAGCCCCAAATAGATTAGGGCAAAATAGGAGCACAAGGCAATATAAAATGTAATTCCCTTTTGAACATTACTATTTACACGCCATCACACTCAACATTACCGTTTAAAATAAAAGAATTAGAAAACATTGAAGGTTTGGGATGCTAACTTAAAATACTTGAAAACCGTTTCAAATTTGTTCAAAATATGTATTATTACATAGCAGAAGAATCAAAATCAATCACACCAAGTATTTTACACCAAAAAAATGAAAAAAAATGAAAAAATTCTCTTCCAATTTGATTTGGAATATATTTGAATATTTTAGATATATTAAGATATATTAAATTTTAAGATATATTAAATTCAAATATATTAATATATATTAATATATTTAATAATATATTTAATATATTTAATATTTATTTCATTTTTTTCATTTTTTCTTTTATTTTTATAAAAGAAATAAAATAATAAGATATTGAAAAAGATAGCAGAAGCAAAATGTAACATTCTGAATTTTAATTCGAGGAACTAGTTGCTAATCTAGGGGTAAATTAGTAATTAATGGGTTGATTGTGGTTTGGGTGTTTGAGTTAATGTTTTGTATTGTTTGAATGTTATATTAATAAGATTGAAGGGTAGAACGATAATGCAAGGCATAATGCACGAGTACAAGTGAGATTGGACTCACTTTGCCTTGCGTCACGATGGAAGTTGCGTGCACCATGGCATATTATCCAGGAATCATGCAAAACTGATGTGATTAGCTCATGAAATCAGAAGAGGAAGTGTGAAAAATGCATCTAGAGGGGTAGAGAAGCTCGGCTCTATTAAGGCAAGCGATATCTAGAGCTCGAGAATCTACTTTGATTGGTAACTTGTTGGATAAGTATCACTCAATCTCAAGCTTCATTTCTACCTCATTTTTATTGAATTTTATCAATTGAAAAATTGAATCATGAAGTTTTAAGGTGTTGTAATCTAAAAGAAAGTGTTAAAATGGGCTATCGAATATAAAACTAAGGTTTTGTGATTAGTATGGAGTTGAATGGTTGAGCTCTGAGAGTTTAAGCTCAAAATAGCTTAAAAGTTAGGTTAATATTAGGATTTTGGTTGAATAAATGAGTTAGGAGGTTGTTATGGTCGTTTGAATAGCCTATAGGGCTAATGACTATAAATAATAGATAAGTGAATTCAAAAGGGTTCAATTGAACTGTTTCATGTGTTAAGGGATTCAGTTTAGCTGAATTGATACCTATGTTAAGTGTTAAGAATTGACTGAGAGGTACTGTATTGTGTAGATTGAGCACTTATAACATTGCTGGTAAGAATCTATGCCCCTAGGAGCTTAGTGTGATTGGTAACCCTTAGTACAAGGATTAAAGGTAATTAGATTAACCTTTTTACTTGTTTAGTTGTGAAATTATTTACAAGTATTTTTATATAACTTTGTGCATTGTATTTTGAACTACTAGATTAGCAGCATTATGAAAGAATATACATGCAGGCGTGTGAGTATTGACTGAAATGAATTTGAGATGGCATGTGTATTGACATGCATTGCATTCACAAGAATACCCTAGATTATGGTAGGGGGACACAACCCTACTGTGAAGAGGTTCAGGAAGTCTTGATGATCTAGAATATAGAGCTTAACTCTACCATGATGGACCTAGGAGAAGAATCTTGATGATCTAGAGTGTAGAGTTTGACTACACCATGATAGACCTAGGATATTGAATTTAGGACATTGAATGATCCACAAGGTTACCTTAGACTAGGGTAAAGAGTCGTGGTCTAACTCAGTATAAGGCTAGGAAGTCTTGATAATCCAAAGCGTAAATTTTAACTCTGCCATGACAAACCTAGGAGACCACCCATACACAAAGAGGATTACTTGGTCTGCATAGTAGTATGGTAAGCCTTGTTCCTTGTGACTAAAACTCGTAATTCGAGCGTAGAGATTACTCCACTAGGTGGAACCAGGAATGTATTGCATGAGCATAACAAGAAGGAATGTATACACATGCTACTTTATTGCTTGTTTATGATTTTTCTTACTAACAAATAATTGGGGTTACCTTCAAGTGACTGAGATGTATATCCCACTCTGTTACTTTTGAACATAGGTGAAGAGAGTACGAGAAGGCTGGGAAAGGAAGCAAGGAAAGAGTATTTTCATTTTGGTAGTGGTATGACTACCATTAGTGTAAATGAATGTATAATGTGTTGATAGAGTTAAGTTGATAACTAAGATGCATAAGTGTATGCGAATATGAGAAAGTGAATTGTGTTGTGAAAACTTGCTTGTATATATATATAGTGTTGCATTATGTCAAGAGTGCCCCAGTAGAGGATATGTGGATAGGCTTAAATATGAAACAAACAAGTAAACGTTGTTTTGTAACTTGTTCCAGTTTTTTATATGTGAATTGATATGATGACTATGTGTTGAATGTGAATTGTGTTGTTATATGAGAACTTGACACAAATGGTGAGGCGAAGCCCCATTTAAAAAAGTCAAGTACACTTGTGATTCCCAACCATATGGTAAGGCAGAGCCCTATATGCAAGAGTCGGAGGGTTGAAAGTGAAACAAGTCTAGTTGTATATATAAATATATGTTGTATATGTGTATTCCTCATATAAGTCTACCATTGTGTAATGTGGTATTGAGAAGGTAAAATGGGCTATTTGATATAACACAATTGTTACCCACTTTTATTTATCAATTAAGACCTTTTTATTAATGATTTATCACCTCAAAGTTCACACGTTGCATTAGATTTGAAATTTTGCCTAAGTTTCTAGATTTAATGCATTAGGGGCATTTTGGTCTAAAAAATAAACTTTTGAGAAAATATACAAGAAAATTTGATAAAGTGAATTTTATGTCCAATTGATGAGTGGTGAAATTATATTTTGAGAATTCATTTTAGTTTGGGAGTAATAAATAAAAAGTCAAAACTTTCTTAAAGTCTTAGTTTGACCTAATTTTCGGTTTGGTTTGACCTAATTTTCAGTTTTCCTTTGTGTGAAAATTTATATATAATTTTGTACAGCCTAAAACATGATTATTTTAATTAATTCTCCCTTCTAATTATGAATTTAATTATGGACATTAATTAAAATTTATTATATCACATGCTATTTAATTAAATTATGTGATTTATGTAACATAGGTGGCATGTGACTTGTGCATCAATTGGGCAATTGAGGTCAACACTCCTTAAGGTCAAAGCTAATGGTTTGCCGTGAATTAGGCTTTATTTGGGGATTAAATTAGCTTGAAAATGTGGATGACACATTGGAAATTGCACACACATTGGAATCATTGGAATCATCTACCAACTAATAGGAGGTTGCCACCTTGCAAGTATGACAAGGCTCCCATTTTCTTTTTTATTTTCCTTTCCTTTTTTCTAACTAAGCTTCAACTGATAGGAAAGAGAATAATCATGCCAATTTCACCAAGAATTTAGATCCAACACTCATCTTATTCATCTTCCACATTTTCTCTCTTTTGTTCATAGTGCTCTTCATTTTCTCTCTTTTGTTCTTCATTTTCCATCACCTTAACCTCCATTTTCAGCCACCAAACTTCCACAAAACTCATACCATTCTTCTCCTCTCTTCATTTTTGTTCCATCCCTTTCTATTTCACAAGGTTTTAAGCTCATTTTCTTCATCCCAAATTCTATGAATTTCAGTCAACAAGTTTCCAACCTAGGGTTCTTGAAGATGATGAAGATTGGCTAAGTTTCTTGGTGGAATTCTAGAGAGATGAAGATAGAGGATGAGTCTTGTGCTTCAATATAGCTAAATTCTTTTATTTCCTATCCTCTTCTCTTTTTATTAAATGATTAGATTCCTTAATCTAGGGTTTGATCATTGATAGGGATTTAGTTGCTCATCCTTAAAATTAAACTAAAGCCGACCTTAATGCAATATAGGGTCAACCCTAGGTCATCTCCTAAGAAATAATTTTAAGTTTAATTGAAAGTTATCTAGTGAAATAAATCAACCAAAGTTTGTAGTAATATTAGGCCAAATGAAATTTTCATCTTCCCAATCTTATACAAGGCCAAATTCATAATGCACTTCACACATTTGTCATATCTTCACACAATACCCTCCATCCACTAGCACATATTATCGTTTCATCACATACACACATATACACAAGGCTAGGGACCTAAAACCAGCAAACACAATATTCATCCCATTAGGCACATGTCTCGAATCATAAGGCAACTTACACACATTCATAACTAACAACATACAAGTTCATTACACCAAATTCTTATAAAGGCTTTAATGAGAGATCTTAACTCAGCCAATGTCTTTACCCTTTGAACCACTAATGCTATAACCTAAAAAATATAAATAACCATGGGTGAGATAAAAATCTCAACAACCAATATTGTTCATTCATGTATATTAACACAAACAACCGTGTCAAAGTAATAAAAACCATAGTATAGCATATGTATGTATTATAACATAGCTTAAATAACCACTTTCACATATATATCATTTTCACACACTTTTACACCTTAGCATGAACATCTATCCACCGATCCTCTAAAGCTCCCCAACATGAAACTATAAGCTCTATTGGATCAATCACTTGTTGACCTAAGCACACTTTCGATGGTAGAAATACCTAGCTAAAGGTAATCTAACCCACCTATAGTCTATGGTTTCTCTCATTTCACAGACTTGTGATAAAGACATTATTGACTCATAACTGCACCCTAATAGGCACTAAGGAGTTGCCAGACTGCCTGGATGTCCTATGGTAACAGTCCCAATATATGCTATATAGGATTACCTATGATACCATCCCGCAATATGCTGCACCAGATGTCCCATAGTGCCAGTCCGACCATATGAATTTTTTCACTCACACCTCTGTATACACACATATCCCCGCATATCCTGGGTGGACTCTTACCCCTTATGATCATACTTTCCACACAACTTTCAATGCTTTCTTTCCACAATTTCCACCATATATATATATATATACATATATATCAAACAAAGCTTAGAAATCATTAAATTTTATTTCAAAATTCAATTTCATGCTAAAAGCATTTACAATGCTCAATCATGCATAAAGCTCATAAAACAACAATTTCATATTTACTCTTACACAGTTATAACTGTTAATAAACATAATAAACTATATAGTTACCTCAACCTTTCTGTTCAATAGAAAGGGTTACCCATATTCCAATAACCCTATTCAAGCTCTTTTTGTAATTCACATGTCACATGCTAGAATCGACACAATTTAGGCACCCAGTGTTAATAACTTTATTGACAAAAGGTGCCATTTACCATAACTAAACATCAAACCACTATCACTTCCATAATTCACATTTGTTCACGTATATCACAATCAATTACCCCTTAAAACAAGCTTTAACTCCCTCACAAACACATTCTCTTACTACTCTCTCTAGATTAGGGCAAATTGTGCCTATAACATTAAAGCTTTATCATTTTGGCTCAAACCAGTCTCAAAGTACTAGTTTACTTCTGGAGAACCTTTCTATTACTATAGGGTAAGAAATTAACCCCTTAAAACTTTCAAATTCAATTTATCACTAGTTAAAACTAAGAGAAAATAAGGTAAAATCAGAGGTTAAGGCAGTACGAGACTTACCCGATAAATAATAGGTCAAAAATGCCATCCTTACTCCCAAAACTCAATGCCCTAGTGAAGCCCTCACTCTTTTCCACACTAGATCTCCCTTTTCTCCTCTTTCCTTCGATTTCACAAGTTGCTCCATGTTCTAATTGATCATAATTCTATTCCATGAGTCATGGTGCATCTATCCTCTGCCATAGTACATGGCACAATAAGGGAAATTCTCATAGCACTCACACACTTTAGCACAAAACCTCATTCTTCCTCTTATATCTATTCATATAATATTCCAAGAAGTCAATATAACATTTCACTATCTAGAACCCTAACCCCACATTAAATTACTAATTCAACTCCTAATCATTCATTAACACAGGATTAGAAATTTAGGATGTTACAATTGGAGCAGTGATTCTATCTGTTAGTGCATTTTCTTATGAGTGATTGGTATAATTATGCGTGATTTTGCACTGAAGAAGTTTTAGAATATTGAATATGATGAATCAAGCGTGAAAACCTTGTCTTTTCATGCATGGTTTTGCACTTCGAAATAACCATTCAGTTTTATATGCCAAAACTCATGTGTTACCTCATTTCTCTCTTGTGTGATTTAGCACTTATGAATATTCATTCAATTCCGTGTGCTAAAACTCATGTAGTACCTCATTTCTCTCTTGTGTGGTTTAGCACTTTTGAATATTCATTCAGTTCTATGTGCTAAAATTTATGAGTGCACTATTAGGTCTCATGCATGGTTTGCACATAAGAAACTATCATCAATTCTGTATGACAAACCACATGTGGAACCTCTACTCTCTCATGCATGAAATGGTTTGCGGAATGCCAATGTCATTTTATGTGATCAAAACTCACATGGAACCAGAATGATATCACGCATGAAATTGCAAGCATTAATGCATAAACTTGTTTGATGCATATTCACATGTGGAACAATACATAACTCAAGCAAGATTTTACATGATCAAGAGATATAGACTTGTGAATCAATGATCATATATATAAACAATTTTATCTTGGCTTGAGAAGATTTAAGACTTAACAAACCAAAGTGTGATTGTTTAACAAGTGAAAAATCATGCATGGCTACTATCAGTATCACACGTGGTTTTACAATTTGTCATAATACAATGAAGCCCAAATGCTAAAACTTACATGGACAATAAAGCCTTTCACGTGTGGTTTTGCATGCAAAACCAAAGCTTAAGGCATCACATGACACAAGTGCCTAATCACACGTGAATCACTTCTTCATACTCACGTGATCTAGCAGTCAGTATGCCTAACGTGCAAAAACTCATAAATAACCTGCAGAATCATATGTGGTTCTATCATTCACCATACAAATAGCTTTTATGGAAATCAACATGCAAAAAGGACATTGTTTGCAAGCTTTAACTTACTTAGATAAGTCTTAATGCATATAAAAGAGACACATGATGCATTCATTCAAAGATTATGAAAATTGATTAAGCTCTCTAAGTTTTCACATTGAATCTAAGAGAATTAAAGTAACTTATCCTAAAATTCTTCCTCTTCTCTTGATTCTTCATGCTCTATAGGTTTTTTCTTCATCCATGATTCTTTATATCTGCACACATAACAAATATCTCTTCTCTTAGTTTTGTAATCATCAAAACACATGATCCAACTGACCTAGCTCTTTGAATGAATACTTTAATACTTTGAGATGTAGTAATTTTTAGGATTGAATTGGTGTAAAGTGAACATTCTTTTACCTTGAATTATAATTCGAGTAGCACATTACCCTTTCATAGAAGAAGC